GTCCTATTTCATCATTGTGTAGGGTATACGTGTGTGCATGTGCGCTGACGCTAACTCTCGACATCGTAGAAATCACTGTCCGTGCTACGCAAGCCCATCTCAATTACCTGATTGAGTCACAACCAGCCGTAGCATAAAAACCTTATTCGAGTCATCGCCAGCCGTAAATAGTTCGTGTCATTCCATACACACGTTACTGGATCGCGACACTCGTGTCTGTACACATTGTGACGCACCATAATGTTTGAAGACTTTGTCTCCATACTGGCAAACTCAACATTTCCAATTCGATTGCTATTTGTTTTCTGCAGTTCATGCGGTTTCTAAGGTTCATTTTATCAAATCTTCATGTTGGAGACGTAACAGGAGACGAGATCTTTGATGATTGAGGGGGCTTGTTCTTCAGGCAGGATATCCACGACTGCTCCCTCCCTTCAGCGAGGGTTCGGTTCAATCCACTTTGTAATAACCGTACACCTCACCAAGGTCATGATCATTGTGTATCGAAGCGTTCCTGGAGCTGGAATCCTGGCTCGGCATGGTTGTTAAGGTACAAAACAGAAGAGGTAGATCTATTGGATGAAATAGGAAAAAGAGTTTAACGAATGCTAAGGTAGAAAAAAAACATGACAACCTAGTTATAGAACGCGCTAATTCACTATAACGCAGTAGAGAGCGTCTTTCACTGAACAAATTATACCCATCTACGTTTCCGTCGATACAATCCTCGTGATTTGTTTCCAATGTATTACTAGTACATTCATGGTTGGGGCAGAGGCAAACATATTTTATTTATTTATTTTTATTTGTTTGTTTGTTTTGTTTGTTTTGTGTGTGTGTGAGGGGGGACGAAGTTGTAAAGTTGGTAGTGTACCTTCCGATAGTGCGTGAGATCGCATCTTGACCTCTTGCGTTTGTTCCAGCGGCTGTATGGGCTTCAGTGTGAGACTGAGTGTATAGTAGATGAAGTGGTAGGAAAATGAATATTGTGCACGCAAAGTCTAACAATACAATAGCATCGTATTGGGTATGGTTGTATAGGAGACAGGTTGTCCGCCGTTGGGTTCGTGAGTCGAAATGCTCGTTAACATTTCATGCTACATAGTGGAGTGCTGTCTTTGG